GCCCGACCACGCAGTTCTCGCAGACGTTATTCAATGCTGCAGAGAAATTCTCCAGTTCAAGCACACTGAACCTGTCGCTAAATTCCTTACCAAGGTTGAAAAGCTTCACAGCCTTGTGTATGAATGGCAGTTGGTGGCAAGCAGAGAATACTCAGCAGCCTCCCTGTATGACGAGATCACAGGCACTATCATTGGCTGGCGGCGACTTGAATTGACCACCTGGGCGAAACTCTTGGACTTGGAGAACGACAAATGCCTCAAGGATGTCAGCTCATGGTGGTTCATCACTTACGAGGCCTTGGTCCGGGCTCCGATCCAGATCGCTGAATCCGGTGAAATGGAGCTGAAAGACCACATTCAAGAGGTTACCGCAACCCTGGAGCAGTTCTTCCGCTCCACCACTGTTGGACAATACAGCGAGCGTCTCCGACTGATTAAGAACTTCCAGTCCTTGTTGCTGCTCTATGTGGAAGATCTTCCGTCCTTGAGTCAACTCACGTCTGCTCTCGACAATTTCCTCCAGCGTTACAGACAGTTTGAACCTCCTGTGCTTAAATTGTTGGCTGAAAAGAGGCAGGCACTTGAGAAGAATATTAAGGAGCAGATTCAGCTTGCTAGCTGGAAGGATACCAACATTGTCGCCCTCCGGGAAAGTGCTAGACGGTCACACGTCAAACTGTTCAAGTTGGTCCGCAAGTATAGAGAGGCTTTGGCCCAGCCAGCTCAGCCTATCCTGGAGCAAGACATGCCAGAGGACAACGAGGATACGGCTGCTCCTCAACGATTGGTTCTTCCTTCCTTCGTCTTCCCCGAAGCCCTGGCGATGTGTCAGACGGAGGAGAAAGCCTGGATCGATAGACCACCTCGATTTAAGAACCCCGACAACACTGCTAGCAGCATGATGCAGGTGTATGGTTCGATTTCGAAAGAATTCGATGTTGCCGAAGACCTCGAAAGCTTTGTCAAATATGTCGTTGAGAGTATCAAGGAGTTCAAATCACAGACCCCGAAAACCTTGACAGAAGAGAACAAGGATGATGTCCAGCATCTCAAGGTCCAGAAGCGTCGTTTCTATGCTGACACGTTACACCGGATCTACGAAATGGGTGTGAAACGTAACGTCAACACCAGTTTGCTGGAGGCACAGGCATCTGTTCCCCAAGTCCTTGCCACCATCCCGGCTTTCGAAGCTGGCATCGCCGACGCACAGTTACTTAAGAAGGCAGATTCATATTTCCACCGTTTCCTGGACCTGCTGCCTCGTGTCCGCTTAGCGGCGCGCGACTACTCTGAGGATCTTAGCAACGTCGAGATATCCAGAAGCTCGGGATCTATGGAGCACCTTTTGCACCTCGTCCGTAAGCAGAGAACTTCGATCTCTCCCGCACTGTCTAATTTGAAGTCGCTTGATTCACTCCTTTCCAAGGTCGCCAACCTCTGGACCGCCGATCCCCTCTCTATCTTCAAGGCCCATTCGGGTTTCTCGAATGGAAGAGATGATATCACAAGGGCAGTTGCATGGCTGGCTCCTATTATCGGCCTGGCAATCACTGTCGTGGGACTTCACGCCAAGTTTTCGGGCATCAGCTCTACAGGCGTGATTGAGAGCCTACAGGCTTGGAAAGACACGTTTGACCGCCTCAAGACCACACTGAGCCATCTCCCCGAGTTGCCTGAGGGAATGGCTTCACGTGTGCACAAGAACACCGTAGAAGAAGCTTGCACGGCTTTCACGAGGCTGAATTTTGACCTCGCCACGTGGACCGAGGAGCGCCCTGACCTGTCCTTTGTTCTGGGCCAGATCATCCCATGGTCGACGGTCAATGCCGTCGCATATGAGTCTGAGAGCCATGACCTTGGTGTTTCCATCGAAGAATACGACTCGAGTCTCATCGCAGCCGCTGACAAGATCCTTGTCAGTATCCAGAAGCTGAACGAAGCTCCGTCGCAAATCACCGCCCCTGGCGCGCTGTCCCGGAGTGACGACTTCTTCGTCCGGGCACTCAGGCTCCTTCGCATGGAGGACATCTCGACTTCCCTCAAGTCTGTCCTTGACAAGCTACAGCACCTCCAGACTCGCTCGCCTTCCAGCCTCCCGTTTGCCATTGCCTTGACGGCGACCCTGTTGCCGATTCTGAATAAGTTCGCGCATATCTGTCGAGACGTGGTCGATCGCTACCTGACGGTGCACAAAGAGACATGTAAGATGTCTTACATCCTCGCTAAATCGTTCACGCAGATCGCATCGGAAGGCTTCTGTAGCCCGTCTGAACCGTCCACGGAGGAAAGCAAGTCTGGACAGTTGGAGAGTGGCACCGGTCTTGGCGAGGGAGAGGGAGCCGAAGATATCAGCAAGGATGTAGGCGACGACGAGGACCTGACGGAACTGGCCCAGGAGGACAAGCAGAAGACCGATGAAGAGATTGAGAACTCTGAAGATGCGGTCAACATGGATCAGGAGGAGATGCAAGGTGAGGAAGGCGAAAGAAAGGAGGGAGACGACGAGGATGACAATGAAAGCGGCTCAGACGAAGAGGATGATATTGATGAAGAGGTAGGCGATGTTGATGATCTCGATGCCTCGGCTGTCGATGAGAAGATGTGGGATGGCGAGCACGATGATCAGCAGAAGGAGACTGAGACCCAAGAGGGCAAGGGCGCGGCGGAGAATGATGAGCAGACAGCCGCGCCTGACCAGCAACCTGGCCAGGAAGCTGAGAAGGGTGAAAACAAGGAGGGTGAAGAGGAGGAAGAGGAAGAAGATGACGAAGAAGGTGAAGAAGCTCCTGATGAGGAGGGTGAGGCTGTTGGGCGTGAAGATATGGATGTTACCGATCCACATGCCAAGGAAGAAGAGGCGCTCGATCTTCCAGAGGAGATGCAACTTGATGGGGATGAGAAGGGTAACGAGGAGCCTGAGGAAGACGACGGCCTTGATGATGACATGATGGATAATGACCTCCCTCCTGCGGAAGAAGAGCAGCAAATGGAGGGAGACGGCGTCGAAGATGAGACCATGGAACAGGATGGGGAGGAGCAGGAGATTGATCAGACTGAGGAAGCTGGTCCCGATGACGAGCTGGGCGATGCGGACGAGGCTGAAGGTAATGATGAGGCAAATGAGGCCGGCGAAGAGGCAGAGGAAGAAGAGAAGCAGGAAGATGACTTCCTTGCCCAACGCGATGAGAACGAAGCTGCTGGCGAGGAGGTCGCTCCTAGCGAAGCTGTCAACGGTGGCCTTGGAGCCGAGCAAGATCAGAACCAGGAGAAGGGCTCGTCCGGTAACGCGCAGCAGGAGAGTGGCTCCACCGATCCCTCTGACGAGAAAGAGCAGAAGACTGGCGCTGCACAGGAAGGAGATGAGAATCAAAGACATAAGGATGAAGGCGGCGCCAACGATTCCAACCCAGAGGATCCTCAACTCCAAGCGTTCAAGAAACTGGGCGACGTCCTCGAGCAATGGCATCGTCGACAGAAGGAGATAATGGATGCTTCCAAGCAGGAAGACGATGAGGCCGAAACTCGACTGCCTGAGGATACTGATATGGCGGATGCCGACTTCGAACATCTTGCGGATCAAGACGATGTTGCCGACACCCAAGCGCTTGGTCAGGCCAACGAAGAACAAGCCAAGGCTCTCGACCAGAACAAGGGCGTCGAATCGGATGTCAAGCCGGACGAGAACAATGAACTCCTGCCAGACATCACCGACGACAACATCCAGGATCTCCCCGAGCACCGTCTTGAAGACGAGATGCAGCTCGACCAGGGAAGCGCCCCCACTGAGTCGCAAACGGCCGGTGCTTTCATCCCTGGAAACCTTCAAAGCCAGGAGCGGGCAGATGCCACTGCAGGCCAGGACGCAGCCGATGAGGAACTGGACGAGGTCGATGCACACCTGGCTGCAATCCACCTATCCTCGACCCTTCCCCCGCTTACGCCACGGGATGAAGCTCAACGACTCTGGTCGTACTATGAGTCTGCGACCACCGATCTCTCCTTGTCGCTAACGGAGCAGCTGCGACTTATCCTTGCCCCCACGCTTGCGACCAAACTCCGCGGTGACTTCCGCACCGGCAAGCGGCTCAACATCAAGCGGATCATCCCGTACATCGCCTCTCAGTACAAGCGGGACAAGATCTGGATGCGGCGGTCGATTCCCTCGAAGCGCAACTACCAGATCATGCTGGCGGTCGACGACAGTAAGTCCATGCTGGAGAGCGGCAGTGGGCAGCTGGCCTTCGAGACGCTGGCGCTCGTGGCGAAGAGTTTGAGCATGCTCGAGGCCGGCGACCTGTGCGTGCTCGGCTTTGGAAGCGAGGACCACGTGCGAGTGGCGCACGAGTTCGGCAAGCCGTTCTCCTCGGAGGCCGGCACCCAGGTCTTCCAGCACTTCAGCTACCAGCAGACGGGCACTAACGTGCGCAAGCTGATCGCCGACTCCATCGCGCTGTTCCGCGAGGCGCGCTGGAAGCAGTCCCCCGGCGGCGGCAACGCCGACCTGTGGCAGCTCGAGCTGATCATCTCCGACGGCATCTGCGAGGACCACGAGACCATCAGCCGCCTGGTGCGCCAGGCGCAGGAGGAGCGCATCATGATCGTCTTCATCATCGTCGACGCGGTCAAGGGCAGCTCCATCCTCGACCTCACCCAGGCCAGCTTCGAGCCGGACCTGGACAGCGGCAGCGGCGAGATGAAGTTGAAGATGAAGCGCTACCTCGAAGGATTCCCCTTCCCGTATTATCTGGTGGTGCGTGATGTGCGCGAGCTCCCCGCGGTTCTGGCGACGGCGCTGAAGCAGTGGTTCGCCGAGGTGGTGGATGTTTCTTCTTAGAGTTTCAACGGGGTGGTGTTTCGTTAGGGTTAGATACAAAAGTTCTGGGTTAGCATTTACTGTATATACTGGTTGCATGTAGTTTAGCAAATAGATTTTCATTCATGATAGCTGCTTCAGAATGTAGACTTCAGCATAGAGAAAAATTGATCATTTGTTTCATGAACCAAGATCATGCATGCACTCTAGCATGTCGCAAAACAGCTGCGCAATTTTGCCCAACTTTGCTACAAGACACTCCATATCTTGCTAGATTTACAAGACAGTCCATCCCTATCCCTGGGAAAATAACCAATCAAATGGTAACTACATACACAGCCTGGACGTCAGCATCAGACTTCACCTCCAAACTCCCACTTCTCACTTCCCCCTTGGCCCTTGGCCCTTGGCGGCCAACAGCCAAAGAGATCTCCCAATCACCACCCAACCCAGCCCACCCAGCAAGATGGTAATCCTCTACCAGCCATACTTCGACCCGGCCTCCTTCTTGTTCCTCCGCCCCGTCGCGAAACTCTCCTCCAGCGCCTCCCGCTGCGTGCTCGCCGCACTGACCAACTGCTGCAGCGTATGCTTGCCCGGCGCGATCGCCCGGACGGGGTTATGCTGCGCGGCCGCGAGGTCCTCGTGGGCCATCTGCTGGTTGGCAGCGTACTCCTGGTCGGTGTTGAAGTGGAGGACCCGCGGGGCTGCTGCGGTTGCGGCTGATCTGGAGGGGTTGGCGGACCGGCCGAAGAGCTGGCGCCGTTGAGCGCGAGTGAGGTTGAGGTCGTCTGCGATGGCGCCGAGGGTGGTGTTTTCTGATGCGGTTGAAGGTGGAGTGTAGGAGGGGTGTGTGAGTTCGGGAGCGGCAGCGGAGGCAGGTTCGGGGCCGGCGGGCGCCGCTGCCTCTTGGGTGCTGGTGTAGACTAGGGGTTCGTAGGCTGCTGGCGCTGCTGGCGCTGCTGGTGCGGTGACGGTCTCCTCCGTCGACGAGGAGAGAGAGAACAGACTGATCTTGGGTTTGGGCGGTGCTGGCGCTGGCGCTGGCGCAGCCGCCGCTACAGGTGGTGCAGCACCAGCACCAGCCGACGAACCACCCCCAAGATCCTTCTTCAACGGCCCCGCCGCCGAAGCACCACCACTTCCAGTTACAGCAATCGGCCCGGCGGCCTTCCGCTTCCCTTTCCCCTGCGTCCCCCGCCCAACCGACAACGGCTTGAACATCATCGGATTCCCCTTCAACTTGACCTCCTGCGGTGGCTTCGCACCCTCGTTCTTCCCTCCCCCTTCCCCTTCCCCCAGAATATCATCCTCACCCCCTCGCAAACTCCCCGCCTTCGGAATCGTCTCATCCCCATCCTCGCCCCCTAACCGCCCAAAAGCCATCTCACTCCGCATCTCCGCGTCCGCCTGTCGATCGAACCCCGGCGTCGCCCCCGTCTTCAGACTGAATACCTTCCTCGTGGATCCGGTCGCAGACGGTTTAGGAGTGGCGGCGGGTTTCTTGGGCGCGGGGAGGAGCGCATTGAATCCCGCGAATGCGCCGCCGCCGCCGCCGATTCGGGGCTTTTTGCGCGCGGGTCCGTCGGTGTCTTCGTTGGTGCTGGTGCTGGTGCTGGGGTCGGGTTTGAGGTCAGGGAGGGCGACGCGGATTTTGCGGGGGTTGCTGCGGTCGATTTGGAAGGGGTTCGGGGTTGTTGATGAGGTTGTGGTTGTGGAGGGTGGTGCTGGTGCTGTTGCGGTGGATGTGGGTTTCTTCGTCGTGGTGGTGGTGGTGGTGGTGGTGGTGGTGGTGGTGGTGGTTTCGGGTTCGGAGTCGGAGGCTTCCGAGTCGGAGTAGGCGACTAGGGCCATTGCGATTCGTGGGTGTGTGGATGCGAGCTGTGTGGTGGGGGTTGAGGAGGTGGTAATGAAGGTGATGGTGGTGGTGGTGGTGGTTGGTTGCTTTGAGGGAACAAATATTCGGAGATGCGCGCGGGATTGCGGGCTGGGCTGGCTGGCTGGGCTGCAGGCGCGGCGATGGATCTAGTAACATTCAGGTGCCACTGCAGTGGTAGCTTTAGGGGCCTGATGGTTCGGGCGGCAACACGGGCGGTGTGTCGACCTCCGTGGTAAGTTAGTGGTTCTAGCTTGAGTGTATTGCTGCGGGCCTTGCGCGTATACTTCAGGTGGTTTTTGTCGCTTGGTACTCTATCTGCCACGAGCTGAGTTATAGTTCGAGTCCCTGAGGCTCATGCAGAATGTCCTGGTCAAATGCAGTCCTATACGTTGCATCAAAAGGAATTTCTGTGACATCATGCTGCTCTTTCACATGACCGTCAGATAAGATAACAGCTATGCTGTAGCCCTAAGTCTATGGTGCTACCGTTCAGATCAAAACGCTCAACTTCCTGCTTGAGTTCTGTCACTCTACGAGTATCATTGGCTGTCTGAAATAATACTCCACATATGAATTCACGATGCCGTTACGGAGAACATTGAAAGGCATAGACGAGGCATATTCGTGAGCGCGGGCTTGAGCCATATCGAACTGAAGCCAACCGCTACGACCTCCGTGCAAACACGGCACGTCTAGCCAGCCAACAACTGATCGTCACCTCCGAGACTGACTCATCCTCTCTACGAGAGAAACAGAGACTCCAGTCCCCCGGCGCAGGGGCATCCATTCCCCGCGGACAGGCCAAGGCCCACACTGATCCATTCTTGCACTCGCCCAAGTAACGCATAAAATGCACCGGACCACGGCCGAGAAAGCCATCAAAGTATCCATACAGCAGTCCGCCACTTTCGGCACAATAGAAAGTCGAGTCCAGTTCGCGGCAGACATAAGTTCCAGCAAAAGTCTTCCCATCTGGCTCTGTAGGAGAGCGGACAAGCCGGTGAGCAGTGATATGCCTATTCGGCTGCGGCCAGTCGAGACGGAGACGGTCATCCTCCAGCGTGGCCAAAGTGGTGCGAGATTCAGCCCGCTCTGGTCGCACGGGGACCAAAGTGTCCGGCTCGCCCGCATAGGTGACGACAATATCCCCAGTATCAGGGCGATTCTTCACCTCAATGGCCAGGCAAGCCTCTTCGTCCCAGTAGTATCCCGGCCAATTTTGCGAGCTGAGTGTCACACTATGGGACACTGAGCGTAGCACTTCATCTCTCTTCAGAAGCCTCGCCAAAATATCCTGCGCTGCCTTCTCGGCGTCCGCATCATGGTTGAACATTACCACTACAGAGAGCTTCTGAGAGGGAACGTGACGCCTGTGCAGCCTGTAGCCGCGCAGAGCACCCCCGTGGCCAACCGTCGGCACGCCTGCCACCACAACATGCTCGAGGCCGTAGCCGTAGGGGGCCGGGGTCCCGTCCGCGAACGTGGGAGGGAGGGCCATTTCTCGATAGATGCTCGTCTCGTCCTCCCAGCTGCGATGGAGGAACTTCTCGTACGCGATCATGTCTGCCAGTGAAGCCACGACGCCCGCATCACCGGACCAGTGGATCCGGTTGACAGCGGCGATGTAGCCGCGCGCCTCGTCCCCTTCGTACCCCACGCAATCTCCAGGCAACGAGGCATTGTCCGGATGTAAGCGCGCGGACGCCATTGCTGCCGGTGTGAAAACATGCTCGCCGAGCCACTCGCCCAGCGGCTTGTTACCGGAGGGAAAGCAGGTGCGACTGCAGCGCTCGATGACCCGTGCCAGAATGTGGAAGTTGGTGTTGGCGTAGGAGTATTGGGTCCCTGGGGTGAAATGAGGGGCACCTAGGCGCTCTAGCATCTTTTCACCGGCTTCGGGTATTGAAAAGACTCCGTCCGGTCGAGCGCCCCAGAGTGTAGTCAGGGCCCAGTAGTCTCGTAGGCCGGATTGGTTGTCGCAGAGTTGACGGAGGCTCGGTTTCGAGGCTCCTGGGAAGGAGTCGAGGCTATCGGGCCAGACTTCGCGGAAGTGGGAGTCTAGATGCGACTGGACTTGGTCGTCACCGCCGAGATGGGATTGCAGTTGTCTTTCTAGTGCCTTAAGGCACATGCACACCATCTGTTTGGTGATCGAGCAGATAGGCATCATCGTTTCCGGTGTCATTGGAATGCGCTGGTCGATATCAGCGTATCCCCAGACATGTTGACCAAGCACGTTTCCATCCTCAAGAACGGCCACTGCACCGCCCGGACCACGATAGAGAGTCGGGGATTGCTTGAGCACATTTTGTACGGCTTGGTGGATTGAAGACATGATGATTCGGTTGCTGTTGCGCGAGAGGATCGAATGGATTGTTTACCCCGCTTTGATGGGATGATGATGGTTCAGGATAGATGACTGATAACCGACTCCGCGCTAGCTGATAAGCATGGAGTCCAGTACTTCATACTGCCATGGGGTCACATGTTGGCAAGGGTAAGGGATCAATAATTGGCATCTAGAACTATAATTGTTGATTGAAGGATTGTGGAGTTGGACTAGATCAAGGTGTTGCAAGAACATAGTGCCTAGTGGAGAAGAAATTACATCAACCAGCATCATTGGTCTAGTGGTAGAATTCATCGTTGCCATCGATGAGGCCCGTGTTCGATTCACGGATGATGCACTCACTTTTTCGATTTTTTACTACCTACCAGGGTAGCTGAAATGCCTTTTTGACATCCACCGAAGCAAATGGTGCTGTAAGCTGACAACCCCGCATATAACCTACCAAGTATATCGCTTGACAGGAAGTTCCAAGTTGCTATATGCTGCTCATGCTGCATCCGTGTCTGCAAGACTACTAAGCTTTATTCGGTATGGCTTATGATGCCAACTGATACACGGCGATTGCTTACACATCGACACTGAGATCGAGTATACATGCCCTGCACAAGCAGTTCTCCCCCTAGACAGAGTGAAGTGAAGCGCTATCGTACATCCTTTCGCAACGCCACAGTTCACACCGAATTACAACGAATCCGAGAGGCTGATTTCCAAGCACAATATGGCTCAGGATCAGAGCCCACTTGAGGGAGCTGAAGTATCGGAAGGAACCTCCTCCGTGGAACTCGTTGACCGCGACCTGGGCTCGGAATTCATTGCTGCAATTGTCAATGATTCTGCGGGGGATGTGCAGAAGATAATTAGCGATGGTGCTCTGAATGTGAGGTTCGAATATGCTGTCGACTTTTGACTGAAAGAGTCTCGGTATGGATCACGCACAGTTAACCCTGCTGCCGCCTAGCAGCAGGACTGGACACCCCTCATTCTCGCTGCGAGTTTGGGACGGGATGAGATCGTCCACTTATTACTGCGCAGTCATGCCGATGTGGATCATACGACTAGCATGGCAGAGACAGCCTTGCATCACGCCGCTCTTGGGGGCCATACCAAGATTGCATCGGCGCTCCTGGCAGAGCATGCGGTGGTTGATGCTCGTAATTGCGAAGATATGACACCTTTGATGTATGCCTGTTGGGAGGGTCACCTTGAATGTGTTCGAGTGTTGGTGAGCCACGGGGCCAATGTAAGCTTGACTGAATCTCTGGACTGGACTCCTTTGTTCTTTGCCGTCTGCAAGCATTAGATCGAGATCGTGCGACTTCTACTGCAGACCTCCGGCATCCCGCGATTAGACCGAAGGCGAATGCTTAACACCCAAAATCACGAGAAGAAGGCCACGCCCCTGAGAGAGAGTATATACTTGGGGGATAAAGAATGTACCAATGAACTACTTGCCGACCCAGATGTTGACATGACCGTTGCCGACCACAAGGGTGACACGCCAATGTCAGCGAGCGCAGCAATCGGCGATTTTCCGACCCTCTTGCAGATATTTCAGATGCCAATGTATAGCATCACCGATCCGCTCGAGTCCTCTCCCCGCTTAGCGACGCCCCGCGAACTCAAACGAGTGAAAAAGGCTTTACTGGATGGATTCTCTCGTCTCAAACCATGGGAGTCAAACCTCCCCATCGTTATGCAATAGGCGGTAGTGAACGGCAGTCTGCCCTTGGCAAAGAAGTGCCTGGACACTCTGCCAAGCCTCGTTGACTATGCGGGTTCCATGCGAGCAACATGGCTACATATTGCATCGCGGTTTGATCACGGCGAGTTGGCTAGAAACCTGATCACGTATGGAGTCGATGTCTACGCCACCACAGAGCGTGGCATGACTGCCCTTCATCTGGCTTGTGTGGGAGGACATAGCGTCACGGTGAGATATCTCCTGGAGCACCTCACAAGCCAGGCGGGGAATCAGGCGCCAGGGCCGGGGGCTGCAACCCCGCGCGAATGCGATGCAGCGAGATTGATCAAGTTCATCATGGCAGATGACAAGCTTGGAGAGTCCGCAATCAGTCTATCTGCGAAGGCCAAGGGTAGAGATACCAGTGACATACTGTGGGCGGAAATCGAAACCTTTGCAAGCAACAGGGAGAATTTGAAAAGCTTCTCTCACGCCGATCTCGAGCGACTTATGGAGCGTGCAGCCCAATTTGAGGAACCTGGTAGTGAACGGATACTTAGGGTCCTGTTGCATCTTTTACATCCAAAGACCGTCGAGAAAGAAACGGAAGTTGATACGTCGAGCTGGACGACTTTGCACTCTGCTGTGCAAAGTGCCAGGCCGGAGCTGGTCTGGCCGCTGCTCTCGCACGGAGCACACTTGAAGAAGAAAGAGATTAGTCAAGCTGTGCAGATACTGGAAAGCAGGACCCGTAATGGTTCTCAGTCCGAGGCCGATTCGGTCATTTCTCGTCTCCTTAAGAGCCCGCCACGGGTTAGCGCTCACGCGGCTATTGAGGACGACTATCACCAACCTGAGAAACCAATTCTTAGGGATGAGAGCAAGCATTTCATCGAAAACAACACTGGAATCATCGTGGATCTCTTTGATGGAGCGGGATTTGTGATAAACCGGAGAACCCTGAGTGAGATTATCTACGACAAAGGGCCTGAACTTATAATGAGGAGCATGACTTCTCGAGCTTGACTCAATTGAAGCAATATCTAAAAGACCAGAACCAACAATCGAGCTCGATTGACCTGGAGTCATCCAATGAATTGGGATTCAGATCTGCCAAGACACAAGCGCCTGTTGACCAGACAAATGTTGCTGATCGACCGGCCATGTCAAGGTGAGAACAGCAACAGGAGAGGAATGAAAGCGCTACTACTAGACAACAACTAACCGAGAAAGAGTCAAGGGATTTTCGATGGATTCACGCCCCCGTCCACAATGTACGTGCTGAGCTCTGAATCCGATTGTCCGAGTCCGACGCTAACAAGGGCAAATTCTCTGAGTAGATGCAACTGGCCGAGGTATGTCTGGAGCCTCTGATTCAGAGTAATGTCTGGCATTTCATGCCATGTGATCGCTCATCGGACCTGGTAAGATCTAATTACGCGGTCTGGGATCGATTCTCGCAAGACCAAAGAGGAGCACGAGTACTTGATGAAACTCTTCAGGCTCGGCTTGATTGAAAGCCCTGCAGGGGGTGGAAAACGATACATAACGCCACAATTACTGGTGGGAGCTTGCTTAAAAATACCTTTGATTCTTTCTATCCACTAAACACTTTCAGGTAACTGCTCCAATGAACAAAGCTGGAAGGACAACCCAAGGAGAAACTTCGAATATGACGGACCCTGCCGGTGAGGATGAAGAATCAGCAGCGCTTTATGTATGCTCCTCTTGTTCGTGACAGATGCTCGATAGTTTGATTTTTGACAGATGCCATTTCTAACAGTTTCCGAGATCGGAGAGTTGAGTTCGAAGTCTGGTGGAATCGAAGTTTCATCTAAAGCAGCACCATCGACCACAGAATCAAAAGAGAATGGACTCGCGTTGAATGTTCATGAGCGTAGGACTCTCGATCAATACCACTACAGCATTGTGGCGGATACCACAATCCGAGACCGCGAACAGGTCCTTTCTCGATACCTGGAATGGCGAAACAGTGGAAACCATCCGATGACCCATTCTCGCAAAGGGAAAACAGAAGTCGGGACTTCCAGCGGACTATCTCGGAAGGTTCCAGTGCTTTCAGTCGATCAGCTGTGGCTATGGATTGTTGATGACGGTGTGGACATTTGGTTCCTGCATTCCGCAGGCTTGAAGTACTGATTCTACTCTTTCCCATTACTGACTGTCTACTAGTTACCATCGTGACTGCCAGCACATGCGACTTTGAGTCCTTTGACGATCTCGTTTTGGAAGAGCTGGTGTTCAGTGAGTCGCGGGGCAAGCATCCTAGTCCGAGGACAGCTCCTGAAATGATGGAAACTATTTTGAGAGTCATCACGGGTCCGCAGATGCAAAGTGTCAGCGTCAAAGGCAACCACAATCTGAAGCAGCCCCTGGAGATCTTTCGGGATACAATTCGACTCGTGGTGAGTGTGAAGAAGTGGCATTTGTTCGGGGTTCCCTTCCGCTTGATCAGAACACTAGGACGCCTCCGTAGGCCGAAGAGGAAACTAAAATGACGAGGGCTTTCATTGAAGAGGTCGCCGGGGCATCGACTGGCGCCTGTCCTCTGCCCAGGCGGGACTTGGGCTTGGAGTTCCAAATACTGTACGAGATCAAGGACATCCAGAATGAGTTGGATATCCTTCTCGCACTGACCAAAACACAAGAGTCGGTGTGCTCTTCAAGCTACCTTGCCTCAATGGAGGATCTTGCACCCTCTATGCGCGCTCTGCGCATAGAGATACAGGCCGTGCAGCGAGAGGCTCAAAGTACACGAGAATCAGTGAGTCTTGAAATTGCAGCATGAAGCTCTCCCGCCGTCTGATGATGTATTTTTGAAACCGTTCAGATCAACACACTTCTGGATATCCGCCAGAAACATACAGGTAACCAAGACGCCGATTTCGGACGACAGCAGGCTTATACCACCATGGTCTTCACTATTGTTACGATTGTATTTGTGAGTGTGCCCTGCGGCGGCGAGGCGACGTCTTTCAGTGGACAATGCATACTGACACACCACACTCGCAGCTTCCCCTCTCCTTTCTTACATCCCTTTTTGCACTTAACGTCGCCGTCTTTCCGGAATCCCCTTATCCCAATCAGTGGATCTTTCCCATTCTGCGTAAGTAGTGCGTCAAGTCCAAGGACAAGCCAGGTGCCAATGGCTGCATAGTCGGGTGTTCCGCCGCCTTTTCCATTCCAGCGATTGTGGTCGCTCTCAATGTGAACGAGACGGTGATGAAACCATATTATCGCTGGCGCCTCTCATCTCGGCCGGAGCGAGACCCATGGGAAGGGCGTCGCCAGAGAAAGGAAGCCAAGGACGCGGACAATTCACCACTGGAGGCCGTCCCTCATGGTGGAGGAATGTTGAGTATCGTTACAGCTCTGCAAAGAATGGGTCCATCTGGAGGTACCTTGCTCGCTAGGAGATTCAGAGATAAGAAAATCGGGGGCTCAGAGGGGCGAGACTACGACGCCGCCTCTGTGTGCTGATACAACCACGAAACAAGTTCCAGGGTCTTATTCGATGTTGAAAATAGCTTCTAGAATGTTATAACGTGATCTTAGTTGTCCAGTAAATTACGTACTAACTTATGTAGTTAAGTTAGCTTGTAGTCCCTCAGTGCAGTCACGCTATACCGCATCCAGTAATCCGTCGTCAATGCAGGTGCAGTGAGTCCCGCCATCCGTCCCCGCCAAGAGTCCGGAGTAGTTTCCACTGCTGGGTTCATTCCACATTTACTTCAACACCAACCTACCACCTTCATTATCTCGACACCGTCACTCTTTCTCAACACCTAACCTCCTCACGAACCGCCCCAACACAACTGAATCACCTCGTTCACCACCAGAACTCTACCTTCCCTTCTCCCATCGCAATCGAACATCCTAACCTCAACAATGCCGTGAAACGAACCTTCATTCAACCACGCGCATCCTCCCCACACCATTTCACAACCATCACCGACCTCATACGACCACCTACCACCTCACCACCTCAACCCCACCAAAATGCCCGAACCAACAGCCCAAACCTCACCTCCACCCCGACCCCCTCACCCTCCCTCCCAAGAAAACCAGCAACAGCACCACCAACAACCCCGCCGCAAAAGATTCCGCTTCAAATCGCCCTCCCGCCCCAGCTCCAAACCCAACCCCAACCCCAAAGACCCCCACGAAAAAGAAACCCGCCACACCGCGCACCGCGCCCGCCGCGCCCACCGCAACCGCCACCGCACCCCCAAAACCCCCGAAACCCCGGACCCAGCCTCCACCCCCCCAGCACAACTAGACCCCGACACCGCCTTCCGGGAGTCCCTCTTCGACGCCCTCGGCGACGACGAAGGCGCCACCTACTGGGAATCCGTCTACGGGCAACCGATCCACACGTACGCGGTCCCCAGCATGCCCACGGGCCCCGCGGGGGAACTCGAGCAGATGGACGAGGAGGAGTACGCGGCCTACGTGCGGAGCAAGATGTGGGAGCGGACGCGGGAGGGGATGCTCGAAGAGCAGGCGCGGTTGCGGGCGGAGCGGGACCGGAAGCGTCGGCAGGAGAAGACACAGCGGCAGGCCGGGGAGAATGCCCGCAGGGCGTTCGATGAGGCCATCGAGGCGAGTCTGCGGCGCGGGAGGGAGCGGAAGCGCGAACGGGCGTGGAAGGAGGCGTGGGAGGCTTATCGGGGGTGTTGGGGGAGGTTGGATGGGGCTGTTGCTGCTGCTGCTGCTGCTGCTGCTGCTGCTGCCGGTAAACAATTGGGGAAGGAGGAGGAGGGGGAGGGAGGGGATAAAGGGGCCAAGGGCAGTTTCCGCAATCTCGTCTTCTGGCCCGTGGACTCGGGGAAACGCAGGGATGTGAGCAAGGAGAATGTGGAGGGGTTTATGCGGCATTCCCCTCAGGCTGCCAACGGGCCGTCGGAGTTGTTGGCCGTGCTGAAGGCGGAGCGCGTTCGCTGGCATCCGGACAAGATCCAGCAGCGGTATGGAGTGCTCGGGATCGAGGAGGCGGTGCTGCGCTCGGTGACGGAGGTGTTTCAGATTATCGATCACTTGTGGAATGATCTTAGGACCAGGGAATCTGCCTGATCCCGGTCCGACTTTGTCCAGTTGGCATATATGCATCACTGGCGCGTGTCCTTTGATTAGCGATTGATACCCTCGAGCTATAGATTACGACTAATACAACGATTACCAAAACACCGTAAGTCCTCAAGGCTAAGAAATCTTCACCTGCTCAGTCGAATTCATATACGCATGCACAAGAAACTAAAAGCGTTCTCATCTCTTCTACCTACCCACCCACCGCACTTCAGAATCTCGAGTACCGCTGCTTGGACCGATAAGCAGTCCAACCCACGTACGCGCCCACGACCGCGGCCAGGAACAGCACAACCTTGAACAAGAACCAGCCCCAGCTGCCCTTCTTCTGGCGGCGCTTGACCCGAGCCGAATCCTGCCCGCGGGCGCGCGAGGGCCCGCTCTTCGCACCGGGGCTGCCGCCGCCGACGCTGTACAGGTTCTGGGCCTTGACGGAGACGATGTCGAAGTTGTCGCTGAGCTCGCCCGTCTCCGCGGAGAAACCCAGGTAGGCGACGGAGGGGATGGCGATGTTCTTGTCCTCGGCGTTCAGCTCGAAGCACTGGATCCAGGTGTCCTCCTTCTTGTACTGCAGTTCCAGCGTCAGGGTCTTATCCTGGAAGTAGGTCAAGCGGGCCTTGGTGGGGATGGAGGCGCCACGAAGACCGCGAGCCTGTTGTTCGGCAAACAAAGCATTAGTATCCGCAAGGAAAAAGTCACAAAAGCAGAGGCACAACGTACAGAGCATCCAGCCAACTCATTGGCGCGGCCATCATGGGCCTGGTCGTAGGAGGTCTGCCCATCACCCATCATGGCCATGACGTAGGGGAACGTAGTACCGGGGCGGTTGTTCTTGTAGGTATCGAAGAAGATGCCCAGACCCTCAAAGTTGTCCGTCGAGCCGAAGACGGGACCCTGCGTCGCGCGCTGCTTGGTGAGCCACATGGCGAACCCATCGCCGTGCAGGTTGCCGGCGCCGTGGATCTTGAACTCGACCTCGATCTATTATAACAGAACGTCTCGCATATCAGCCCACCGTGCCCCCTCATCAACCATTTCCCCCCACCGTGCAAAAAAACCATCAAGCACAATTGAAACTAACCTCCCAGTTCGTCGCGGTCAAGGGCACCCGAGAGAAGATCCATCCCTGCTGTGAAGGTCGATCGGAGGTAAGACGGATGTATCTGGAACGAAAGAACAACGCAACGCGCAAGTGGTCAGTTTTACACCGAACCGATAAGTGTCGGGGGATCTCTCGTACTGGTCCGCCCGGATTATCGTATCACCACCGAAATCGAACCAGCGGCTTTGGAAGTCGGAGTCCAAGTATGGCTGTATAGTCCGTGGGTCAGTAAGAGGGCGGTAATGTTGCTGTTCGTGCGCAAGGAAACCCACCGGTGCGAGACTATGGGTCCGAAGCTATACCACCCTCCGCGCGTCGCATTAGTTTATGAATGATCTAGGGTAGCAAGAGCGATCTGGTCGTCCTGAGTCTGGGCTTGGATGGCTACACACCGGGATGCTCTTCACATCATCGCCGTCGTAGGCATTGGCCAGGGGGACCGAAGCGAGGCCAGCAAGGCAGAGGAGAGACGAGAGCCGCGGAAGCAGCATGGTGATATCACACAATCTTAATTGAAACTTGGCTGTACACTCAAAGGTCGGTGAGATCGAAGAACAATCGACGAAAGCGCGCAAGGTCGGCAATAGGTCGCGAATGGGAGAAAGATAGCTTTTTTTTTTTTGGTCACCAGGACGTATAACAGCTTCTGGCAAAGGTTCGGGTAAAAGAGCACCCTCCCCCCACACGTCAGATGGATGGCCAGCAAGCTTGAGGGTTGGAGGAAACTCAAATAAACAAACCAGAAATCCAGAACTCACCTCAATTGACGGAAGAAGAATAAAGACTCCGGGAAAGGGGGATTTTCACAGAAAGTTATTTGGAGGGGAGAAAAGAACGAACACCGGAGATAGTCGGAGGGGAAAGGAAGAGAGAGAGAGAGAGAATGACAGGTGGTGTGTGTGTGGTGGTTGGATGAGGAGAAGGGATCTATAACTAAACAACCACATAGCGGGAAACTCTCCAAGTGTCCACATCGCCGGTACGGTTTAGCTTAGCCAGTAGCTCATTGCCGTGGCGCAGCTTTTCATCGGACCGGACACTCACTAGCCACAATATGATCTCCGCGGCCGCGCAAGATCTTGAACCCCCCCCAGCTCGTCACGGTTCTCCGATACAACCTACCATTTCCCTCCCTCATTAACTTCTTTGTATATTAACCACATTTCTCCTTTCTCAACAGCCTCTCCCTCCCTCCATATCTCGAATACTTACACAATGGCCCTCTTCGGTTCTTCCTCCGCCTCCGCCGAGGCCTCCTCCCCCTCCACCAGCCAGGAGATCAAGGCCTCGCTCATCCGTCAGGTCCAGGAAGAGGCCGCCATGAGCAATGCCCGGAGCCTGATCGGCGTATGTCTCCCTCCCTCCCTCCCATTCCTCTGACTTACTTATCTTCCATCCTCCGAGTCATACCCTGCACCCCAGCACCCCTTCGTTTCCATTGCCATGCCCACAAAATCTAACAACCCACCACAGAAGGTCAACGAGCACTGCTTCGACGCCTGCGTCCCCACGCCCGGCTCCTCCCTTACGGCCAAGGAGTCCACCTGCCTGTCGCAATGCATGGAGAAGTACATCGGCTTCTGGAACGCCAGCAGCCGCGCCTACATCGCCCGTGTCTCCAAGGAATCCAAGAGCCTGGGCGGCGCCGACCTGTCCGGTGTTTCTCTGTGAGCGGAAGCAGATGCTCAGAAAAAAAAATATAAACAACAGTTTCCCTCTCTGTATTTCTATAGTTTTCCGGAGTCGAATCCATTTCTCAATCCTTCAAACGAGACATCTGGGTAAAGGAACAAGAAGAAGGGGCTATGTCGGTTGGGTTTCGGCGTTGACTGTTCATCTTCCTGTATCACAGGAGTAGTGGTAGTGGTGCCAATGTGCAGCAGGCTTGAGAGCTGATGGTTTTCTTCTGGGCTTGTAGACGTGCGTGGCGTGAAGCGCGAACCCAGGATACAAGGCATTGTGGGGTTCGTGTTTCCTATGTATACTATCGGATGGTCATTTAAGAGAGCCCTTACACTTGCTCTTTGGAAAGGACAGGGTCAGGCTATTTGCGCGAATTAAAAAGAGTCTCTTCAGCCATTCCAGTATCTAGGTCTTTTCTTCTCTTGTCTTCTCTTTCTCAGATGTCAACTACCGAGTGGTAGTCGTGTTGTCCACGTATTTCCAAGGTCGACTTTTATAGCTATTAGAAAATCCCCAATTGTATGTACATGACACAATAGCCTCCACACGTGACACGGAAAGAGAAACGATCCAAGAAGACCCGAATATATCCCCATATTTGCACAACATAGATAACAGAAAAAAGCACGACACCAATTCAAAGAGCGGTCGTGGTTGATTGGACAGCAGACCTGCGCCCCCGCAAGATTCAGCCACCGCCACCGCGGTAAGTAACTCCAGCCACATCCCTTCGTGATGACAACCAGCAGCAGAAAGTAAGCAAGCCATAGGCTAAGGACGGTGTTTTCTTGTTCGAGCAACCGTGCGAGTCGAAACCGAGTCGCACCTATAAATCATCAAGAGAGACAGGAATCGAGGGACGGGAACGGAGAAAGGGCTGAGCCAGTTCCCAGGGGAGAGATAAAGAGATATATAAACAGGTTAAGACCATATTGTTATATGCTCTAAAGTCTGGAAGCAGCCAAGGCTTGATTCGGCCAGCGATCATGGAAACAGACAAGCCGACGCAGAGCAAAATCATCGCAGCAACAGTGATAAATGATAACTCAAGATATGGCTATTTTAGGAGATAGCCTCGGGAGATAACTCCGGGGAGGATTATACCCGCTCTTAAACGCCCCCGGAACCATCAATCGACTCGATTCCGCAAGAACAAATCCATGGAAAGGCGGGATATCATCTCATCATGAACCATGGCGACCATTAGAAGTCGGGGAACAGATGGCCGTGACTTATCTCAAGTTAGCAAGGCTAAACGCGAAATGGAATCGATCGGGAATACATACGGGTCTTCTCCACCCATGCCGTACTGTTCCGTCTCCTCAGGATACCGGTCGTACTGGCTGGCGTCACCTTGCCCGCCCCGAATGGGCGGCACATAAGGAGCATCGATATCCTTCCGAGCCAGGCGGTCCCAGGTAACCTCGGCGAACCAGGGGTGGTTCTTCACATCCTCAGAGCCTCCATGAAGGTTACCCAGACGCTTGGTGAGGTCCGCTGTGATGAGCTGCGATAGCAAATCGACGGCATCGGGATGCAGGTAAGGCGGGTACTTGACTCTGCCTCGCAGGATGTTCTCATAGATCTTCACAGGGGAGCCGCTGTCCCAGAAAGGTGTGAAACCGCAGAGCATCTCAAAGATCAAAATCCCCAATGACCACCTTTAGTAACGTTAGCAGTGCTGCAGGACCACCAGCGGATAGCTCCTTACCAGTCCACGGATTTGTTGTAGCCCTTGGAAGACACGACTTCCGGGGCCAAGTAATCGGGAGTTCCACAGAGGGTCCATGTGATGTCAGGAACCTCCTTCGCGAAACCAAAATCGGTGATCTTCAAGTGTCCGTGCCGATCCAGAAGCAAATTCTCGGGCTTGAGATCTCGGTAGATGATCTGCTGAGAGTGGAGGTACTCCAGGGCAAGGGTCACCTCAGCGGCGTAGAACTTAGCGACAGGATTGGGGAACCGCTGAAGCTTATTAGCACGGACTCAGGGAAGGACTCCGAGACCACGGAGCATTGTGCGACCACCTACCTGGGACTTGCGCAGCAGACTGAAAAGTTCACCACCCTCTACAAAGTCCATGACCATATACAGGTTGCGCGAATCTTGCCAGGTACCCCAGAGAGTGATCAGGAATGGATGCCTAACCCGGTTCAGCATACGACGCTCGTCGTTGGTGTGCTCGATTTGCTTCATCTTGACCACCTGCGCCTTCTTCAACACCTTGATGGCATAGAAGCGATGGTTGTGCTTGGACTGCACTAAATGAACACGACCAAAACTGCCGGTTCCCAATGTGCGCTGCAGAATGAAGTCATCTAGGGAGTATTTTCCCTTAGTGGTACGAGCATCATTGCGATTGGCTGATTGACCCTGCGCCTGGCTGCCGGAGCCAGAATGCGTTGAGCCCTGCTGGGAGGAGTGAATTATGTTCTGTATGCTGGCGGCATTGACATTGGACTGTGAAACACCGGAGGTGTGTTGAGAAGGCGACGCTTGCGACACGGTAGATTGCATGGAGACTGGTTGACCCTCGTTGGATTGATCGGCTGTGGAAGAGCGGTTGAGCTGGTTGGCGGCCGAATTTTGCGGCTGATTTGCGGGGTCAGCGGTAGTGGCGGAATTGGAGGCAGGTTGCTGGTGCTCTTGCTGGTTTTGCTGCTGATTTTGCTGCTGGTGGTGGTCGGGATTATTGTGGTGGTGGTGAGTGAGATAGTGAAGAGGGTTATGGTGGTGGTGGTGGTTGTGGTTGTGGTTGTGGTCGTCTTCGGCAGCGTTTGGTGACGTCTGCGTCTGGGCCGAACCGGCTTCAAGCTCTTTAGAGAGGGTCTGCGAATCCTTAGTTCGCCGCTTCTTCAACAGTCCTCCTAAACTAGGCATCGAGAAGAGAAATCTGAAACAAGTCTGAAATGCAAAACGAACACACAGACCATACACGAAGGTCTATGTGGGAGTAAATAAGAAGTTGGAGGATTTGGGGGGATACGTTGAGGGGAAGGGAAGGGTTGAGGGAGGGGACGGAATTGTGTGCACGACACGAGAGAAGAGTAGTTAGTTAGTCTCAGCCCCTCTTTTGCAGCACCGCAACTGCACTTTTCGGGGAGGGCAAAAAGGGAGTTGGAGGGGGAGGGGAACAGCAAAGGAGGGGGGACCCGAATTGATTGAGACGTGGGCAACAAGCAGCCAGCTTTTTTTTCCCTTTCCTTTTTTTTTTCTGACTTTAAGTTCTTTCCCTCTCTTGTCTCAATCAGCTCTTTTTCTTTTGGAATGGATGGTTCGGGCGCGGATACAGCGGAGCCACCCAAGCAGAAAGTCTCAACTCTGAACTGAGACGGCGGTCAACGGAAACTCAATTGGGTCGAAGGATGGATACAAGAAGAACTGATCAATCTCTTGACTGTTTGACGGTGCGGAGAAGAACGAGGAGGAGGCAGAAAAAGTACGAGAAGAGCAGACAGAAAGACCGAGAAAAGAAAGGGACTTAATAGGAAGTGGAGGTTGGAAAAAGGGAAGCCAAAACAGCTGGAAGTTAACCTCTCAAGAGGAAGAGGAAGAAGAAGAAGAAGCGGGGTTTGGATTTGCGTCAAGCTCAAGGCTGGCTGGGCATCAGTTAGTACTGTCCTTACCTAGATGTACTTAGCTCCAGTTAGATCAGGGATAATGTTAATGGGGCCTGGCTATATCTTAGTAGACAATTGCTATAACTACAGGTGCAGGCACTGTCTGTCCACTACACTGTCTTAAGTCCGATCTCCATCAATAGACTAGCTGAATGACATGCATTGTCTCTCTCACTCATGAATCAACACCTCCCGAATAAACACCGACCACCCGACACCATCTAGACCTGATCGGTCCGTCCTTCCACGAGTTCGAAGGATGGAAGGATAATGATCTTGAAGATAGACTAACTAATTACTATATCATCATGACCTGTTTTTCCCACCGATGCTCATAACCCATCAAAGTCGCCACGAACCATGGACCAGGGCCCTCTGGGAGATGTCATACTCATCATTCACATCAATCTCTCATCAAGCTCCGATGCGATGAGGTCATCATCCCTCCTTTCTCAGATCGGCTGTTCCGATGATTATCGACCAATTGATGGAGCGATTCCGCCAAGGGTTAAAATCCGTCCTGACGTGATAGACCGAGTATGCCTTCAGTAAAAAGTACTGTCCAACATGGAACAGTGTACTGTAGTTAAGTGGTTACTCTTGGTTCCCTGCTCCTTCCTCAATGTTTCAAACTCTCTTTTCCCACTCAGCAACCGCCCACACGAGATATGACATGCATGTCACTCTGCACTTGAAGCTGCATTGATCCGGTTGTGAAACGAGAGGGTTGATAAGGGGGAAGGTACATGAGTCCACTCAGTTCCGGAGTCAACGTGGCACGCTCTACTCCCTACAGAAGAACACTGTGAATACACTGTATGGATCATTCAAAGTTACCAGTGGTTACCAGTGAGAGTTTGAGAGTCAGTCAAACTGGCCTGGCGGTGACTTCATCACTGACCGCCCCGCCTAAATGGATATACTCAGTAACTACTACTCATACCTCCAAGTGGTCTAGTGCCAATCTAGCTGAGTCTAGTCTAGCTTAACTTGGTTGTGGATCGCCCCGCTTTCGGGGGGGTTTTTTTCTTCGGTCTCGTCCACCCTTTTAAGCTTCGATTTCAGTGGTTGAGCCTGCGCCTATCCGTCTACGCATGTATGTTTCGGGTGAGCAGGCCCAGACTATGGGACGCTTGCATCTGTCCTCCTCTCTCCCCATATTCGCCATATGGCTTGCCTGCCCATGCTGTGGCATGCGTCTTGTCTTGTGTTACACTGACTTAGAACCTTAATCCTTCATCATTGCTAGTTGTCGGTCCGTTGATTACTCAACAGAAGTATGTTTTTATGTACGGTATTTCGAATGCCATCACGGCTGAATTGAATGACGAACCCACCCCCTCCCCCACCGACCAAGAAAAAGAACAC